TTCCAGGATTCCGGCCCTGCCCTTCCCTCCCCCTTCCCTCTGGAGCCTCTTCCCGACAATTTTCATGGATTCTCCCTCAGGCAACCTCCAGCTCTTGGAAAAGTGGGAATTTCGGTGTCCTGGGAATGGTTTTGGGAATGAAACCAACCAGGATTCCTCTTTTCCTGCACGTGGAATTCCTTGTTTTTCATGGATTAGTCCCCCAGCTCCTGGAAAAGTGGGAATCTCGGTGGCCTGGGAATGGTTTTGGGGATGAAACCATCCCAAAAAAGTTGGATTTGGGCATCTCCAGGGGGAGTTTTTTGGGATCTGGGAGCGCCATTCCCGGTTTTCCCACCCCCGGGAGATTCCGGCCAGGGATTGTTGGGAATGTGGGAAGAGCCCCCCAAAATCCTGAGTGGGGATGGCAAAATCCTCGGGAATGGGAATTTTGGGAATGTGGCTCCTCCAGCTCGGCTTCCTCCTCCTCCTCCTCCTCCTCCTCCTCCTTCCCGGGGCTCCCACGGGATGTTTGTCCTGCCAGGAATGGCAGAATTCTTGGAATTGCGGGAAAATCTGGAGCTTTCCCGATGGAAAAAAATGTCCTAAAATACCCTCCTGAAATGGGCTGGAATTCCTGGGAAAAGCAGCAGGAAAAGCTCATTCCCATTCCAAGCTCATTCCCATTCCCAAGTTCATTCCCATTCCCAAGTTCATTCCCCCTTCCTGCTGGTCAGGGATTTCTCATCCCAAAAAAACCGCTCTGGATGATGGAAAATCCAGGAATCTCCAATGAAAAAATCATCCCAAAAACCCCCCAAAACGGGCTGGAATTCCTGGGAAAAAGCAGCAGGAAAAGCTCATTCCCATCCCCAAGTTCATTCCCCATTCCAAGCTCATTCCTGTTCCTGCTGGTCAGGGATTCCTCATCCCTCCCTCTTCTCCCCCCAAAAAAACCCCTCCCTCTTCCCAAAATATCCCAGCCCCTTTCCCTCTTCCCAAAACATCCAGGAATTTTCCCTCTCTTCCCAAAATATCCAGGCTTTCTCTCCCAAAATATCCAGGAGTTTCCTTCAAACATCCAGGAATTTTTCCTCTCTTCCCAAAATATCCCAGAGCTTTCCCTCTGCCCAAAATATCCAGGAGCTTTCCCTCTTTCCAGAATATCCAGGAATTTTCCCCCTCTTCCCAAAACATCCAGGAATTTTCCCCCTTCCTAAAATATCCAGGAATTTTCCCTCTCTTCCCAAAATATCCTGGGAGCTTTCCCTCTTCCAGGAGCTTTCCTCTCCTCCCAAATAATCCAGGAGCTCTTCTCTCTTCCCAAAACATCCAGGAATTTTCCCTCTCTTCCCAAAATATCCTGGAATTTTTCCTCTCTTCCCAAAATATCCCAGAGCTTTCCCTCTTCCCAAAACATCCAGGAGCTTTCCCCCTTCCCAAAACATCCAGGAATTTTCCCTTTTCCCCAAAACATCCAGGAATTTTCCCTCTCTTCCCAAAACACCCGGGAGCCACCCCTGCTGCCTTTGGACACCCCTAAACCCCTCGGTGAATCCCAGGAAAATCCCAGGATTTAAATCTAAACCTCAGGGGGGGAGTTTGGGCATCTCCATTCCCGGAATTCCAGGCTCATTCCCGGAATCCTGGGCTCATTCCCGGTTTTTTTTGCAGCCCAGAACGTGACGGTGGAGGAGCTGCTGGGGGCCTACAGGCAGGCCTGCCTCAAGCTCAGCTGCCGCCAGATTCCCAAACTCCTGAGGCAGATCCAGGTAATTCCAGAGGGGTGGGAATTGGGGGCATCCCTGGGAACGCCCAAAACCCGGGAATCGACTCGGATTTCCCGGTAAATCCTTCATTTTTCCCACCTTCCCCCCACTGGAATCCGGGAATGGGAAGGTTCCCCCCCCCTCCAGGCCCCAGGGGGGAATCCAAGGCCTTTTTTTCCTGGGAAAAATCCTCTGGATCTGGGGGGGGATATTTGGGATTATTTTTCCCACCCACCCCCTGAAAAATCTGCCTTTGGTTTTCCAGGAATTCAAGGATCTGGCTCCCAGGATAGACTGCTTGGATCTGAAAGGTCAGCTCCTTTTCCAGCCCCTTTTCCAACCCCTTTTCCAACCCCTTTTCCAGCCCTTTTTCCAACCCCTTTTCCATTCCCTTTTCCAGCTCCTTTTCCAGCTCTTTTTCCAGCCCCTTTTTCCAATCCCTTTTCCATTCCCTTTTCCAACCCCTTTTCCAGCTCCTTTTCCACCCCCTTTTCCACCCCTTTTTCCATTCCGTTTTCCAGTCCCTTTTCCGTTCCCTTTTCCAACCCCTTTTCCAGCTCCTTTTCCAGCCCCTTTTTCCAACCCTTTTTCCAATCCCTTTTCCATTCCCTTTTCCAATCCCTTTTCCAGCTCCTTTTCAACCCTTTTCCAACCCCTTTTTCCAACCCTTTTTCCAGCCCTTTTCCAGCCCCTTTTCTTTCCAGCCCCTTTTTCCAACCCTTTCCAGCCTTTTCCAGCCCCTTTTTCCAGCCCCTTTTTCCAGCCCCTTTTCCAGCCCTTTTTCCAGCCCCTTTTCCAGCCCCTTTTCCAGCCCCTTTTCCAGCCCCTTTTTCCAGCCCCTTTTCCAGCCCCTTTCCAGCCCTTTTCCAGCCCCTTTTTCCAGCCCTTTCCAGCCCCTTTTCCAACCCCTTTTCCAATCTCTTTTCCATTCCCTTTTCCAACCCCTTTTCCAGCTCCTTTTCCACCCCCTTTTCCACCCCTTTTTCCACCCCCTTTTCCAACCCCTTATTTTTCCAGCTCCTTTTTTTTCCAGCCCCTTTCTTTTCCAACCCTTTTTCCAACCCCTTTTCCAGCCCTTTTTTTTTCCAGCCCCTTTTTTTCCCACCTCCAGGGAATTTTGCTGCTTCCTCCCCTGCCTCAATTCCTGGTTTTCCCACTTTTGTTCCACCCTGAACTCCCATTTTTCCCACTTCTTTTCCCCCCTCAACTCCCATTTCCCCCCCTCTCCAACTCCCATTTTTCCCACCTTTTATTCCCCCTTCAACTCCATTTTTCCCTCTTCTTTTCCCGCTCTGAACTCCCCTTTTCCCCACTTCTTTTCTCACCCTGAATTCCCATTTTTCCCACCTTTTCCCCCCCTCCACTCCCATTTTTCCTCCTTTTTTTCCTCCCTCCACTCCTGTTTTTCCCACCTTTCCCCCACCCTCAACTCCCATTTTCCCCAGCATTTTTCCCCCTTCCACTCCCATTTTTCCTCCTTTTTCCCCCTCCTCAACTCCCATTTTTTCCCACCTTTTTCCCCCCCTGCACTCCCAGTTTTCCCACCGTTTTTTCTCCCTCCATTCCCATTTTCCCACCTTTTTCCCCCCCTCAGCTCCCATTTTTCCCCATTTCCCCCCCCTGTTCCCACTGCCCCCCTGGGCTGTTTTTCCCTGGGGTTCCCTGATCCCTTTCCTGGTTTGTTTTCCAGGGGAAAAGTTGGATTCCCCCCCCATTCCCCTGATCATTGGGGCTCTCTGATCCCTTTCCCTTTGTTTTCCAGGGGAAAAGTTGGATTCCTCCCCCCATTCCTGCTGATCCTTGGGGCTCTCTGATCCCTTTTCCTTGGTGTTTTCCAGGGGAAAAGTTGGATTCCCCCCACTGATCCCTGGGGTTCCCTTTGTTTTCCAGGGGAAAAGTTGGATTCCCCCCCATTCCCCTGATCCCTGGGGTTCCCTTGGTGTTTTCCAGGGGAAAAGTTGGATTCCCCCCCATTCCCCTGATCCCTTTCCCTTTGTTTTCCAGGTGAAAAGTTGGATTCCCCCCCATTCTGCTGATCCCTTTTCCTTGGTGTTTTCCAGGTGAAAAGTTGGATTCCCGGGCGTGCGAGGCCCTCGAGGAGATTTTCAAGCGGCTCCAGTTCAGACTCGTGGACCTGGAACAAACCAGCCTGGACGAGGACGTGAGGATCCAGTTCCCAGTCCCACATTCCCAGTCCCAATCCCATTCCCAGTCCTATTCCCACATTTCCAGTCCTATTCCCACATTCCCAGTCCCAATCCCAGTCCCAGTCCCATTCCCACGTTCCCAGTCCTATTCCCACTCCCATTCCCACTCCCAGTCCCATTCCCAGTCCCATTCCCAATCCCATTCCCAGTCCCACATTCCCAGTCCCAATTCCCAGTCCCACATTCCCAGTCTCAATTCCCAATCCCAGTCCCAATTGCATTCCCAGTCCCATTCCCAGTCCCACATTCCCAATCCCCATTCCCAATCCTATTCCCACATTCCCAGTCATATTTCCATGTTCCCAGTCCTATTCCCACATTCCCATTCCCACTCCCAGTCCCATTCCCAGTCCCCAATTCCCAGTCCCACATTCCCAGTTCCCAGTCCCACATTCCCAATCCCATTCCCAGTCCCCAGTTCCCAATCCCATTCCCAGTCCCAATTCCCACAATCCCAGTCCCCATTCCCAGTCCCCCAATTCCCAGTCCCCCAGTTCCCAGTCCCATTCCCAGTCCCATTCCCAGTCCCATTCCCACTCCAGAGCCTTGGGAATCTCCCCAGGGAATCCTTTTTTACTTGGGAACCCCCCCCTTCCCTTTCCAGGGAGGAGCCTTTGGAATGGGGATTTTCCGGCCTCCCCAGGGAATTCCGGGTGGAATTCCTGCCCTTTTCCCACCCTTTCCAGTGCATTCCCACTTTTCCTGCCCCTGGATCCCCCTCCAGTCCCTTTTCCCTGCCACATTCCCACTTTTCCTGCCCCTGGATCCCCCTCCAGTCCCTTTTCCCTGCCACATTCCCACTTTTCCAGCCCCGGGATCCCCTGGAATTGCTGCCATTCCCGCTTTCCCAGCTCCTCCCGGAGTCTTTTCCATGGATTGTTGTTTTTTTCCGGGAGCCTCCGGATATTTCGGGGCCACCCCAAAACAGCTCATTAAGGGTTCATTAAGAGCTCATTAACAGCTCATTAACAGCTCATTAAGGGCTCATTAACTCAATTAACTCATTAAGGAGGGCCCAGGCCGCAATTCCCACCGCCTTTTCCCACTTTTTTGGGGGATTGTTGGGAATTTTGGGGCCTCTCCTGCCTCAATTCCTGCTTTTCCCACCTGTTTTTCCCGGCCTGAACTCCTGTTTTTCCCGCTATTTTTCCCACTCTGGTTGGATTGTTGGGAATTTTGGGGCCTCTCCTGCCCCAACTCCTGCTTTTCCCACCTTTTTTTTTCCCAGTCTCTTTGTATTATTGGGAATGTTGAGGCTCAGAGATCCCTGTGGGATCTCCCCCAGCATTCCCAATGCCCTGGACCATCCCTGTGGGATCCCCCAGCATTCCCAAGGCTGGGAGCTCTCCCAGCATTCCCAATGCCCTGGACCATCCCTGTGGGATCTCTCCCAGCATTCCCAAGGCTGGGAACTCTCCCAGCATTCCCAAGTCCTGGAACATCCCTATGGGATCTCCCCCAGCATTCCCAATGGCCCAGACCATCCCTGTGGGATCTCCCAGCATTCCCAAGGCCCTGGACCATCCCTGTGGGATCTCTCCCAGCATTCCCAAGTCCCAGACCATCCCTGTGGGATCTCTCCCAGCATTCCCAAGGTCCGGGAGCTCTCCCAGCATTCCCAAGTCCCGGACCATCCCAGTGGGATTCCCCAGCATTCCCAAGGCTGGGAACTCTCCCAGCATTCCCAAGTCCCAGACCATCCCTGTTGAATCTCTCCCAGCATTCCCAAATCCCGGACCATCCCTGTGGGATCTCCCAGCATTCCCAAGGCCCAGAAAATCCCTGTTGAATCTCCCAGCATTCCCAATGCCCTGGAGCCCTCCCAGCATTCCCAGTTCCCGGCCCATCCCGTTTTTCCGCAGGGAGCGTCGGCGCTGTTCGACATGATCGAGTACTACGAGTCGGCCACGCACCTCAACATCTCCTGCAACAAACACATCGGGCCCCGCGGCTGGCAGGCGGCTGCTCACATGATGAGGAAGGTGGGGGCCCCTTCCCAGTTATTCCCAGTGTTCCCAGTTGTTCCCAGTGTTCCCAGTGCCCTCTGGAACCCCCTGGCAGCTGGAGGAGCCTCCGGGTTTGGGCTCGTCCCTCTGGAAAATCACCCGGCTCCCACATCAAAACCACCTCCCACGACATCTCTGTGAGCTCCCAGAAGATTTGGGATTCCTTCCCAGTGTTCCCAGTTATTCCCAGTGTTCCCAGTTATTCCCAGTGCCCTCTGGAACCCCCTGGGAGCTGGAGGAGCCTCCGGGTTTGGGCTCGTCCCTCTGGAAAACCGCCCGGCTCCCGAAGGAAAACACCCCCTTCCCACCTTCTGTGAGCTCCCAGGAAGTTTGGGATCCTTTCCCAGTTATTCCCAGTGTTCCCAGTTATTCCCAGTGCCCTCTGGAACCCCCTGGCAGCTGGAGGAGCCTCTCCGGAGGTGCTGGGTTTGGGCTCGTCCCTCTGGAAAACCGCCCGGCTCCCAAATCAAAACCACCTCCCACGACATCTCTGTGAGCTCCCAGAAGGTTTGGGATCTTTCCCAGTGTTCCCAGTTATTCCCAGTGTTCCCAGTTATTCCCAGTGCCCTCTGGAAGCCCCTGGGGGCTGGAGGAGCCTCCAGGTTTGGGCTCGTCCCTCTGGAAAACTGCCCGGCTCCTGAAGGAAAACACCCCCTTCCCACCTTCTATGAGCTCCCAGAAGGTTTGGGATCCTTTCCCAGTGTTCCCAGTTATTCCCAGTATTCCCAGTGCCCTCTGGAAGCCCCTGGGGGCTGGAGGAGCCTCCGGGTTTGGGCTCGTCCCTCTGGAAAACTGCCCGGCTCCTGAAGGAAAACACCCCCTTCCCACCTTCCATGAGCTCCCAGAAGGTTTGGGATCCCTTCCCAGTGTTCCCAGTTATTCCCAGTGTTCCCAGTGCCCTCTGGAAGCCCCTTTGCCCTGGAGGAGCCTCTCCAGAGGCTTAGCCCGGGCTCAGGGGCAGGAAAATCCCCCTTTTCCACATGTCCCGGAGCTCCTGGAATTGTGGAGTTGTGGAATTGCCCCCCGGAGTTGTGGAATTGTGGAATTGCCCCCTGGAGCTCCTGGAATTGTGGAATTGCCCCCTGGAGCTCCTGGAATTGTGGAATTGACCCCCGGAGCTCCTGGAATTGTGGAGTTGTGGAATTGCCCCCCGGAGCTCCTGGAATTGTGGAATTGCCCCCCGGAGTTGTGGAATTGTGGAATTGCCCCCCGGAGCTCCTGGAATTGTGGAATTGCCCCCTGGAGCTCCTGGAATTGTGAGTTGTGAATTGCCCCTGGAGCTCCTGGAATTGTGGAATTGCCCCCTGGAGCTCCTGGAATTGCCCCCTGGAGTTGTGGAATTGTGGAATTGCCCCCCGGAGTTGTGGAATTGCCGCTCCCAGCAGGAAAAGCAGGAACAGCTCTGCCGGGGCCCTCATTAGCGCCTCATTAGCGCGTCATTAACGTGTCATTAACGCGTCATTAGCGTGGGGCAGGGCTGTAATTAGGGCGGGTTGGGGTGAATTGTTAATTATCCGACTCCTCCCAGGCCTCATCCCGGCCTGGCCCCAGGAAGCTCATCCCAAATCCTGGGATGGGATGTGGGGGAGAGGGGGGATCACTGGGGGAATCCCAGCCCGAGGGATCCGAGCTCATCCCGAGGGATCCAGGCTCATCCCAAGGGATCCAGGCTCATCCCGAGGGATCCAAGCTCATCCTGAGGGATCCAAGCCCATCCCGAGGGATCCAAGCCCATCCTGAGGGATCCGAGCTCATCCTGAGGGATCCAAGCCCATCCCGAGGGATCCAAGCCCATCCTGAGGGATCCAAGCCCATCCCGAGGGATCCAAGCTCATCCCGAGGGATCCGAGCCCATCCTGAGGGATCCAAGCTCATCCTGAGGGATCCAAGCATATCCCGAGAGGTCAGAGCCCATCCTGAGGGATCCAAGCTCATCCTGAGGGATCCAAGCCCATCCTGAGGGATCCAAACCCGTCCTGAGGGGTCAAAGCTCATCCTGAAGGGTCAAAGCCCATCCCAAGGGATCCATCCCATCCTGATCCACCCCATCCCAATCCTGATCCAATCCCATCCTGATCCACCCCATCCCATCCTGATCCACCCCCATCCCATCCTGATCCACCCCATCCCATCCTGATCCAATCCATCCCATCCTGATCCACCCCATCCCATCCTGATCCACCCCCATCCCATCCTGATCCACCTCCATCTCATCCTGATTCACATCATCCTCATCCCATCCTGATCCATCCCTATCCCATCCTGATTCATCCCATCCCAATCCTGATCCAATCCATCCCATCCTGATCCACCCCATCCCATCCTGATCCACCCCATCCCATCCTGATCCACCCCATCCCATCCTGATCCACCCCATCCCATCCTGATCCACCCCATCCCAATGGATCCATCCCATCCCATCCTGATCCACCCCATCCCATCCTGATCCATCCCCATCCCATCCTGATCCACCCCCATCCCAATGGTGTCTCATGGGTGGTTCAGGGGGCTGTTCTATCCACTATATCCCATTGTATCCATTCTATCCATGGTTTATCCATGATTTATCCCATCCCAGACAGGCTGCCTGCAGTGCCTGGAGGCTCGGAACACGCCCCTGATCCACCCCCATCCCATCCTGATCCACCCCCATCCCATCCTGATCCACCCCATCCCATCCTGATCCACCCCATCCTGATCCACCCCATCCCATCCTGATCCACCCCATCCCATCCTGATCCACCCCATCCCAATGGATCCACCCCATCCCATCCTGATCCACCCCATCCCAATGGATCCACCCCATCCCATCCTGATCCATCCCCATCCCAATTGATCCACCCCATCCCATCCTGATCCACCCCATCCCATCCTGATCCACCCCATCCCATCCTGATCCACCCCATCCCATCCTGATCCACCCCATCCCATCCTGATTCACTCCTATCCCATCCTGATCCACTCCCATCCCATCCTGATCCACCCCATCCCATCTCTGATCTCATCCCATCCTGATCACTCATCCATCCTGATCCACCCTATCCCATCCTGATCCATCCCATCCCATCCTGATCTATCCTATCCACCCGATCCACCTGATCCTCATCCTGGATCACTCCATCCCATCCTGATCCACCCTCATCCCATCCTGATCCATCCCATCCCATCCTGATCCACTCCCATCCCAATGGTGTCCATGTGATCTCTGGACTGCTCTATCCACTATATCCCATTGTATCCATTCTATCCATGCCTATCCTGATCTATTCCATTCTATCCCAGACGAGCTCCTGCATCCTGGATCTCATCCCTGATCCACTCCATCCCATCCTGATCCACCCCATCCCATCCTGATCCATCCCCATCCCATCCTGATCCACCCCATCCCATCCTGATCCACCCCATCCCATCCTGATCCATCCCATCCTGATCCACCCCATCCCATCCTGATCCACCCCCATCCCATCCTGATCCACCCCCATCCCAATGGATCCACCCCCATCCCATCCTGATCCACCCCATCCCATCCTGATCCACCCCATCCCATCCTGATCCACCCCCATCCCATCCTGATCCACCCCATCCCATCCTGATCCACCCCATCCCATCCTGATCCACCCCATCCCATCCTGATCCAACCCCATCCCATCCTGATCCACCCCATCCCATCCTGATCCACCCCATCCCAATGGATCCAACCCCATCCCATCCTGATCCACCCCATCCCATCCTGATCCACCCCATCCCAATGGATCCAACCCCATCCCATCCTGATCCACCCCATCCCATCGGTGGTTCTGCTCATCATCCTATCTGATCCACTCTATCCCATCCTGATCCATTCTCATCCCAGTGATTGATTCCCATCTCTATCCCCATCCTGATCCCATCCTGATCCACATCCCTGATCCACCCCATCCCATCCTGATCCACCCCATCCCATCCTGATCCACCCCATCCCATCCTGATCCATCCCATCCTGATCCTATCCCATCCTGATCCATCCCATCCTGATCCACCCATCCCATCCTGATCCACCCCATCCCATCCTGATCCACCCTCATCCCATCATCTGGATCCACCCCATCCCATCCTGATCCACCCCATCCCATCCTGGATCCACCTTATCCCATCCTGATCCACCCCATCCCAATGGTGTCTCATGGTGGTTCTGGGATCACACTATCCTATTGTATCCATCCTATCCATGGTTATCCACGCTTATTCCATCTTCCAGGCAAGCTGCCTGCAGTGCCTGGATGCTCGAACGCCTGATCCACCCTCCATCCCATCCTGATCACTCCATCCCATCATGGATCCATCCCTATCTCATGATCACTCATCATCTGTATCCTGATCCATCTCTATCCCATGGTTTCCATGATCTATCCTCATCCCATCCTGATCCACTCCCATCCCATCAGATCTGATCCACCCTCATCCACCCCATCCCATCCTGATCCACCTATCCATCGTATCACATGGATGATCCAACCCATTGTACCCATCCATTGTATCCATCTGCATCCCAATGATCCATTCCCATCTCCATCCAGGTCACTCCATCCCAGTGCCTGATCCACCCCATCCCATCCTGATCCACCCCATCCCATCCTGATCCACCCCATCCTCATCCTGATCCATCCCCATCCCATCCTGATCCACCCCATCCCATCCTGATCCACCCCATCCCATCCTGATCCACCCCATCCCATCCTGATCCACCCCATCCCATCCATGGATCCACCCCCATCCCATCCTGATCCACCCTCATCCCATGTGATCCACCCCGATCCCATCCTGATCCACCCCCATCCCAATGGTGTCTCATGGGTGGTTCAGGGGGCTGTTCTATCCACTATATCCCATTGTATCCATTCTATCCATGGTTTATCCATGATTTATTCCCGATTTTCCCCCCAGACGAGCTGCCTGCAGTGCCTGGAGGCTCGAACACGCTCCTGATCCACCCCATCCCATCCTGATCCACCCCCATCCCATCCTGATCCACCCCCATCCCATCCTGATCCAACCCCATCCCATCCTGATCCACCCCCTCCCATCCTGATCCACCCCATCCCATCCTGATCCACCCCATCCCATCCTGATCACCCCATCCCATCCTGATCCACCCCCATCCCATCCTGATCCAATCCATCCCATCCTGATCCACCCCCATTCCCATCCTGATCCACCCCATCCCAATGGATCCATCCCCATCCCATCCTGATCCATCCCCATCCTGATCCACCCCATCCCATCCTGATCCATCCCCATCCCATCCTGATCCACCCCCATCCCATCCTGATCCAACCCCATCCCATCCTGATCCAACCCCATCCCATCCTGATCCATCCCCATCCCAATGGTGTCTCATGGATGGTTCAGGGGGCCGTTGTATCCATTGTATCCCGCTGTATCCCATGATTTATTCCCATTTTCCTGCAGACGAGCTGCCTGCAGTGCCTGGAGGCTCGGAACACGCCCCTGATCCACCCCCATCCCATCCTGATCCACCCCCATCCCATCCTGATCCACCCCATCCCAATGGTGTCTCGTGGGTGGTTCAGGGGGCCGTTGTATCCCATTGTATCCATGGTTTTCCATGATTTATTCCCATTTTTCCTGCAGACGAGCTGCCTGCAGTGCCTGGAGGCTCGGAACACGCCCCTGCCCGACAGCGCCGCTCCCTTCGTGGCGCGGGCGCTGCGCATCAGCAGCAGCCTGGCCGTGCTGCACCTCGAGAGTGCCGCCCTCTCCGGCAGGCCCCTCATGCTCCTCGGTGAGTCCTGGGATTCCTGGATCATCCTGGGATCCAGGGGAACATGGGGACACCTCCTGAGTCAGTGGGGATGGGTTTTAGTAGGGATTTATTGGGGTTTGTTTGTAAATCCCACATGGGGTGTGGGGTGTTCGTGCTGCACCTCGAGAGTGCCGCCCTCTCTGGCAGGTCCCTCGTGCTCCTCGGTGAGTCCTGGAATTCCTGGATCATCCCAGATTATCCTGGGATCCAGGGGAACATGGGGTCACTTCCTGAGTCAGTGGGGATGGGTTTTATGGGGTTTGTTGGGGTTTGTTTGTAAATCCCACATGGGGTGTGGGGTGTTCGTGCTGCACCTCGAGAGTGCCGCCCTCTCCGGCAGGCCCCTCATGCTCCTCGGTGAGTCCTGGAATTCCTGGATCGTCCTGGGATCCAGGGGAACATGGGGACACTTCCTGAGTCAGTGGGGATAGGTTTTAGTAGGGATTTGTTGGGGTTTGTTTGTAAATCCCACATGGGGTGTTTGTGCTGCACCTGGAGAGTGACGCCCTCTCTGTCAGGCCCCTCATGCTCCTCGGTGAGTCCTGGAATTCCTGGATTATCCTGGGAAACAGAGTCAGCAGGAATAGGTTTATTGGGGTTTATTGGGGTTTTATGGGGTTGGTTTGTAAATCCCACGTGAGGTGTTTGTGCTGCACCTCGAGAGTGCCGCCCTCTCCGGCAGGCCCCTCGTGCTCCTCGGTGAGTCCTGGAATTCCCAAAATTCCACGGGATCCAGGGGAACATGGGGACACCTCCTGAGTCAGTGGGAATGGATTTTATGGGGTTTGTTGGGCTTTGTTTGTAAATCCCACGTGGGGTGTTTGTGCTGCACCTCGAGGGTGCCGCCCTCTCCGGCAGGCCCCTCATGCTCCTCGGTGAGTCCTGGAATTCCTGGATCATCCCAGATTATCCAGGGGAAAAAAAAGACTCAGTGGGAATGGATTTTATGGGGTTTGTTGGGGTTTGTTTGTAAATCCCATGTGGGGTGTTTGTGGAGCACCTCGAGAGTGCCGCCCTCTCTGGCAGGTCCCTCGTGCTCCTCGGTGAGTCCTGGAATTCCTGGATCATCCCAGATGATCCAGGGGAACATGGGGACACCTCCTGAGTCAGTGGGGATGGGTTTTATGGGGTTTGTTTGTAAATCCCACATGGGGTGTTTGTGGAGCACCTCGAGAGCACCGCCCTCTCCAGCAGGCCCCTCGTGCTCCTCGGTGAGTCCTGGAATTCCTGGATTATCCCGGGATCCAGGGGAACATGGGGACACCTCCTGAGTCAGTGGGAACGGGTTTTAGTAGGGATTTATTGGGGTTTGTTTGTAAATCCCACGTGGGGTGTTTGTGGAGCACCTCGAGGGTGCCGCCCTCTCTGGCAGGTCCCTCGTGCTCCTCGGTGAGTCCTGGAATTCCTGGATCATCCTGGGATCCAGGGGCACATGGGGACACCTCCTGAGTCAGTGGGAACGGGTTTTATGGGGTTTGTTGGGGTTTGTTTGTAAATCCCACGTGGGGTGTTTGTGCTGCACCTGGAGAGCGCCGCCCTCTCCGGCAGGGCCCTCGTGCTCCTCAGTGAGTCCTGGAATTCCCAAAATTCCACGGGATCCAGGGGAACATGGGGACACCTCCTGAGTCAGTGGGGATGGGTTTTATGGGGTTTCTTTGTAAATCCCACATGGGGTGTTTGTGGAGCACCTCGAGAGTGCCGCCCTCTCCGGCAGGCCCCTCGTGCTCCTCGGTGAGTCCTGGAATTCCTGGATCATCCCAGATATCCTGGGGCAGGCAGGGCCACTTCCCAAGTCAGTGGGGATGGGTTTTAGTAGGGATTTATTGGGCTTTGTTTGTAAATCCCACGTGGGGTGTTTGTGCTGCACCTCGAGAGCGCCACCCTCTCCGGCAGGCCCCTCGTGCTCCTCGGTGAGTCCTGGAATTCCTGGATCATCCCAGATTATCCTGGGATCCAGGGGCACGTGGGGACACCTCCTGAGTCAGTGGGGATGGGTTTTATGGGGTTTGTTGGGGTTGCTTTGTAAATCCCACGTGGGGTGTTTGTGGAGCACCTGGAGAGTGCCGCCCTCTCCGGCAGGGCCCTCGTGCTCCTCGGTGAGTCACGGAATTCCTGGATCATCCCAGATTATCCCGGGATCCAGGGGCAGGCGAGGCCACCTTCCTGAGTCAGCAGGAACGGGTTTTAGTAGGGATTTATTGGAGTTTGTTTATTGGGGTGTGGGGTGTTCCTGTCAGGGCAGTCCTGGGATGTCAAGTGTTCCTGTGGGATAAATCCCATTTGGGATATTGGGTGTTCCAGGGGGGTTTTGGGTGTTCCTGTGGGATAAATCCCACATGGGATTTTGAGTGTTCCTGGGGGATAAATCCCAGGTAGGATACTGGATATTACTGTGGGATATCAGGTGTTCCTGGGGGATAAATCCCAGGTGGGATGTTGGATATTACTGTGGGATATCAGGTGTTTCTGTGGGATAAATCCCACATGGGATTTTGAGTGTTCCTGGGGGATTTTGGGTATTCCTGTGGGATAAATCCCATTTGGGATATCAGGTGTTCCTGTAGGGTTTTGGGTATTCCTGTGGGATAAATCCCAGATGGGATTTCGAGTGTTCCTGTGGGATAAACCCCAGGTGGGATTGGGGGGGTGTTGTGGAGCACCTGGAGAGCTGGAATTGTGGGACACAGCTGGAGCTGTGGGACACACCTGGAACTGTGGGACACAACTGTGGGACAACCCTGGAACTGTGGGACACCCCTGGAATTGTGGGACACACCTGGAATTGGGGGACACCCCTGGAATTGTGGGACACACTGGAATTGTGGGGACATTTTCCATGATTGTGGTCCATGTTCCTCTGGCATTGTGCACAGCCACAGCCCCTGGAATTGGGGGACACGCGTGGAATCTGCGGGAGCATCTGCCTGGAACTGTGGGTCACAATTTTGGGTGACATTTTTTCCATGATTTTTCCATGTTTTTCCCCGTATTTTGCAGCCACAGCCCTGAAGATGAACGTGAACCTGCGGGAGCTGTACCTGGTGTGGGTCACAATTTTGGGGGGCATTTTTTCCATGATTTTTCCATGTTTTTCCTCCCATTTTACAGCCACAGCCCTGAAGATGAACGTGAACCTGCGGGAGCTGTACCTGGTGTGGGTCACAATTTTGGGGGGCATTTTTTCCATGATTTTTCCATGTTTTTTCCATGTTTTTCCCCGTATTTTGCAGCCACAGCCCTGAAGATGAACGTGAACCTGCGGGAGCTGTACCTGGTGTGGGTCACAATTTTGGGAGCATTTTTTCCATGATTTTTCCATGTTTTTCCCCCCATTCCACAGCCACAGCCCTGAAGATGAACGTGAACCTGCGGGAGCTCTGCCTGGTGTGGGTCACAATTTTGGGACCCCCCTGGAATTCTGGGTCACAATTTTGGGATCCCCCTGTCAGTTTTTCCATGATTTTTCCATGATTTTTCCATGTTTTTCCCCCCATTCCACAGCCACAGCCCTGAAGATGAACGTGAACCTGCGGGAGCTGTACCTGGCTGACAACAAACTGAACGGGCTGCAGGACTCGGCCCAGCTGGGGAACCTCCTCAAGTTCAACTCCTCCCTGCACATCCTGGACCTGCGCAACAACCACATCCTCGACTCGGGTCTGTATCACCAGGGATTCCCGGGATCTGGGGGGGTTTGGGTTTGGATTGTGTCCTGGGAATCTCCTGGGATTGGGGGGGGGTTGGGCTCGGGTCAGCATTCCTGGGAATTCCCAGGGATTGAGGGGGGTTTGGGCTTGGATTGTGTCCTGGTAATCCCCAGGGTTTGGGGGGGGTGTCCCAGGAATTCCCAGGGATCTGGGGGGGTTTGAGTTTGGATTGGGTCCTGGGAATCCTCGGGAATTGGGGGGGGGTTTGGGCTTGGGTCAGCATTCCTAGGAATTCCCAGGGATTGAGGAGGGGTTTGGGCTTGGATTGGGTCCTGGGAATTCCCAGGGATTGAGGGGGGTTTTGGGCTTGGATTGTGTCCTGGGAATCCTCGGGAATTGGGGGGGTTTGGGCTTGAGGTATGTCCTGGGAATCCCCGTGGATTGGGAGAGGTGTCCCAGGAATTCCCAGGGATCATGGGGGGTTTGGGCTTGGGTTGTGTCCTGGGATTGGGGGGGTTTGGGCTTGGGTTGTGTCCTGGGAATCCTCAGGGATTGGGGGGAGTGTCCTGGGAATCCCCTGGGATTGGGAGGGGTGTCCCAGGAATTCCCAGGGATTATGGGGGAATTTGGGCTTGGATTGTGTCCTGGGAATCCTCAGGGATTGGGAGGGGTGTCCCAGGAATTCCCAGGGATTATGGGGGTTTGGGCTTGGGATGTGTCCTGGGAATCCTCAGGGATTGGGGGGGATGTCCCAGGAATTCCCAGGGATTATGGGGGGGTTTGGGCTTGGGATGTGTCCTGGGATTGGGGGGCTTTGGGCAGCTCTGGGGTGGGGGGAGGAGCTGGGCCGGATTTTCGGGAATGTCGCCGTCGCTCAGGGTGGGGGGTGTGAGGTGATGGATTCCCATGGAATTCCCGATGGGAACTCCCTGATTTCCCACTCTCCCTTTCCCAGGCCTGGCCTACATCTGCGAGGGGCTGAAGGAGCAGAGGAAGGGGCTGGTGACCCTCGTGCTGTGGAACAACCAGCTCAGCCACACCGGCATGGCCTACCTGGGAATGACCCTGGTGAGCCCCTGCCCACGGGATTCCCGGGATTCACCCTCTGGAGAGGCACCATTCCCAGAGAATTCCTGGGATTTCCTCATGCCGTTCCCAGAGAATTCCCAGGGTTGGGATCCCCTTCCCTGACTCCAGGGGTCAATCCATGGGTTGATCCCAGTGTTTCTGCCCCTGGATCCCCTTCTGGGCTCACTCCATGGGTCAATCCCACCATTTCTCCCCCTGGATCCCCTTCTGGGCTCACTCCATGGGTCAATCACGGTGTTTCCCTCTCTGGATCCCCTTCTATGGATCCTTTGGTCAATCCATGGGCTGATCCAGCTGTTCCTCCCCCTGGATCCCCATCTGGGGTCAATCCCTGGGCTGATCCTCCCCCTGGATCCCCATCTGGGGTCCATCCAAGGGGTTGATCCCGGTGTTTCTCCCCCTGGATCCCCTTCTGGGGTTCAATCCATGTGTTTTTCCCCCTGGATCCCCATCTGGAGTCCATCCATGGGCTGATCCTCCCCCTGGATCCCCATGTGGGGTCAATCCATGGGCTGATCCAGCTGTTCCTCCCCCTGGATCCCCATCTGGGGTCAATCCCTGGGCTGATCCTCCCCCTGGATCCCCATCTGGAGTCAATCCCTGGGCTGATCCGGGTGTTTGTCCCCCTGGATCCTCATGTGGGGTCAATCCCTGGGCTGATCCTCCCCCTGGATCCCCATCTGGGGTCCATCCATGGGCTGATCCGGGTGTTTCTTCCCCTGGATCCCCATCTGGGGTCCATCCCTGGGCTGATCCTCCCCCTGGATCCCCATCTGGGGTCCATCCCTGGGCTGATCCGGGTGTTTCTCCCCCTGGATGCCCATGTGGGGTCCATCCCTGGGCTGATCCTCCCCCTGGATCCCCATCTGGGGTCCATCCCTGGGCTGATCCAGGTGTTTTCCCCCCCTGTATCCCTATCTGGAGTCAATCCCTGGGCTGATCCGGGTGTTTTCCCCCCCGGAACGGCGGCAGCCGCACACGCAGAGCCTGGAGACGCTGAACCTGGGCCACAACGCCATCGGGAACGAGGGGGTGCGGAACCTGAAGAACGGGCTGATCGGGAACCGCTCCGTGCTGCGCCTCGGCCTCGCCTCCACCAAGCTCACCTGCGAAGGTCAGCCCTGGGAATGGGGGCCATTCCCGAAGTCTGGAACGGCCAGCGCGGGCACTCGGGGCCTGGGGGAGAGGGGGTGGGCATGGGGGGCGTGGGGTGGGCATGGGGGCGTGGGGTGGGCATGGGGAGTGGAGGTGGGCATGGGGGGGCGTGGTTTGGTCCTGGAGAAGGTGGGTTGGCCATGGAGAGCCTGGTTTGGCTGTGTAGAAGGTGGTTTGTTCATGGAGAACAAGCTTTGGTCATGGAGGAGGTGGGTTGGGCCTAGAGAACCTTCCTTGGCCATGGAGAAGGTGGGTTGGGCCTGGAGAACCTGCCTTGGCCATGGAGGAGGTGGGTTGGTCCTGGAGAACCTTCCTTGGCCATGGAGGAGGTGGGTTCCTGGGCCATGGAGGAGGTGGGTTGGGCCTGGAGAACCTTCCTTGGCCATGGAGGAGGTGGGTTGGGCCTGGAGAACCTTCCTTGGCCATGGAGGAGGTGGGTTGGGCCTGGAGAACCTGGCTTAGTCCAGGAGAACTTGCCTTGGCCATGGAGAACCTGGTTTGGTGCATGGAGAAGGTGGGTTGGTCCTGGAGAACCTGGTTTGGGCCAGGAGAACCTGGTTTGGGCCAGGAGAACCTGCCTTGGCCATGGAGAAGGTGGGTTGGGCCTGGAGAAGGTGGGTTGGGCCTGGAAAAGGTGGGTTGGCCATGGAGAACAAGCTTTGATCCTGGAGAAGGTGGGTTGGCCATGGAGAACTTGGTTTGGTCCAGAAGGTGATTTGGTCCAGCCTGGTTTGGTCTGGACCTGGTTTGGTCCTGCCCCCATCCCCGTGGTCCCCACTGATGTCCCGGTGATCCCATCCTTGGGATCTCTCCCAAACACCCCCCTGAGCCCCTCCCCTGCTGTCCTGGTGTCTCCCACGGGTGTCCCGGTGATCCCATCCCCTGGGATCTCTCCCAAACACCCCCCAGAGCCCCCCGTTGATGTCCTGGTGGTCCCCATTGGTGTCTTGATGGTCCCCATTGGTGTCCCAGTGATCCCATCCCCAGGATCTCTCCCAAACCCAAACCAGAGCCCCTCACTGATGTCCTGGTGTCCCCCGGTGTCCCCCCGGTGTCCCCTGACATGGTGTCCCTCCATGTCCCCCCCAATCCCCCCCTGCTGTCCTGGTGTCCCCTGACGCGGTGTCCCCGCAGGGGCGGTGGCGGTGGCCGAGTTCATCGCCGAGAGCCCGCGGCTGCTGCGCCTGGACCTGCGGGAGAACGAGATCAAGACGGGCGGGCTCATGGCCCTGTCCCTGGCGCTCAAGGTCAACCACTCCCTGCTGCGCCTCGACCTGGACCGCGAGCCCAAGAAGGAGGCGGTGGGTGAGGCCCTTCCGGAGCCGCCGGAATTCCCCCCGATCCCGGAAACATTCCCGGGATGCAGAGCCTGAGCATCGTCCCTCATTGTCCCCTTTTTTTTTGGGGAGGGGTCTTGTTGAATCCCACCCCCCTTTCCCAGCTTTGTCCCTGGAGGGGGAATTGTCTCCCAGCAGGACAAACATTGTCCCTGGAGGTGGAATTGTCCCTCAGCTCCAGAGCTTTCTTGGGATTTTTTTGTTGGGGGGGGAAGGGCTGGGTTTGCTCAGATTCCTCAGGGATTAGAGTGGGAACCTCCCCCATCCCATGGAAAAGGGAATTGTGAAGCCCCAGAGTGCTCCATTCCCAAATATTCCAGAGGCTCCTCTTCCTTGGGTTGTTCCTTCATCGACCACATCTTGAGGAACCCTCAAGGATCTGGAAGGGGGGCTCAGATCCCTCAGGGATTAGAGTGGGAACCTCCCCCATCCCATGGAAAAGGGAATTGTGAAGCCCCAGAGTGCTCCATTCCCAAATATTCCAGAGGTTCCTCTCCTTGGGTTGTTCCTTCATCAACCACATCCTGAGGAACCCTCAAGGATCTGGCAGGGGGGCTTGGAACTCTCAGGGATTAGAGTGGGAATCCTCCCCCATCCCATGGAAAATGGAATGGTGAAGCCCCAGAGCCCTCCATTCCCAAACATTCCAGAGGCTTCTCCATTCCCAAACATTCCAGAGGCTCCTCTTCCTTCCCCCCACACAGGTGAAGAGCTTCATCGAGACGCAGAAGGCGCTGCTGGCCGAGATCCAGAACGGCTGCAAGAGGAACTTCATCCTGGCCAAGGAGCAGGAGGAGAAGGAGCAGCAGCTGCAGCCCTCGGCCTCCATGCCCGAGATCACCGTCACGGGCCCGGAAAACCGCGATGGAGACAAGGAGGAGGACAAGGAGGAGGAGGAGGAGGAGGAAGGAGGAGGAGGAGGGGGCGGAGGCCCTGGCGGCCGAGGAGAACGGGGACACTGAGGCCCCTGAGGAGGACAAGGGTGACATTTCGGACTCCAGTTCGGACACGGACGAGGAGGGGGCAGAGCCCGAGGGCTCGGGACCCCCCCGGCCCCCGGAGCGGCCGCGGGATCGGCCCTGCCCGCCGCCAGCCCCCCGGGAAGCTCCGCCGGCCGTGGCCGCTGCCCCCGCGGCCTCCCCGGGGCTGCAGAGGAGGATCTCGGTCTCCAGCCCCGGCAGGGGCCACAAAGTCTTCGTGGTGACCCGCGTGGAGCCCCTGCCCGAGGGAGGAGCCGCCGGACCGAGCCCTCCGCAGCCGCAGCTGCAGCCCGAGCCAGGGCCGTCCGGGGAGAACGGGGCTGTTTCTGAGGCGGTTCCTGAGGCGGTTCCCGAGGGCCGCCGGTCCGAGCCCGAGCCGGAGCCATCCCGGGAGAATCGGGGCCGCTTCCTGAGGCAGTTCCTGAGGGCCGCCGGTCCGATCCAGAGCCGGAGCCATCCCGAGAGAACGGGGCCGTTCCTGAGACCCGCCGGCCGGAGCCGGAGCCGCCGTTCTGAGCCAGAGCCGCGAGCCATCCCGAGAGAACGGGGCCGTTCCTGAGACCCGCCGGCCGGAGCCGGAGCCATCTCGGCCCGATCCGGAGCCATCCCGAGAGAACGGGGCTGTTCCTGAGGGCCGCCGGCCCGATCCGGAGCCATCTCGGCCCGATCCGGAGTCATCCCGGGAGAACGGGGCCGTTCCTGAGAGCCGCCTGCCGAGCCGGAGCCATCTCGGCCCGATCCGGAGCCATCCCGGGAGAACGGGGCCGTTCCTGAGAGCCGCCGGCCGGAGCCGGAGCCATCTCGGCCCGATCCGGAGCCATCCCGGGAGAACGGGGCGGTTCCCGAGGCGGTTCCCGGGGCGGTCCCCGAGGGCCCCCGGTGCGGGAGCCCCGCCCGGGACCCTCCCCTGCCCAACGGCCTCAAGGCGGATTTCGCGCGGGCGCTGCCGGAGGCGCCCTCGGAGGGCGGCGGGAAAGGCGGGAGCTGCGGCGCCGAGCACGGTGAGGGGGGACAGGCAGGGACCCCCGGCTCCTGAGGGGTCTGAGACCCGAGACCCCAGTTCCTGTTCTCAGAGCCCCGAGACCCCCAATTCCTGAGGAGTCTGAACCCCGAGACCCCCGGCTCCTGAGGGGTCTGAGCCCCGGGACCCCCGGTTTCTGAGGGGTCTGAGCCCTGAGACCCCCCAGTTCCTGAGGGGTCTGAGCCCCGAGACCCCCAATTCCTGTTCTCAGAGCCCCGAGACCCCCAATTCCTGAGGAATCTGAGCCCTGAGACCCCCAGTTCCTGAGGGGTCTGAGCCCCGAGACCCCCGGTTCCTGAGGGGTCTGAGCCCCGAGACCCCCGATTCCTGAAGGATCTGAGACCCCCCAATTCCTGAGGGGTCTGAGCCCTGAGACCCCCAATTCCTGAAGGATCTGAGCCCTGAGACCCCCCAATTCCTGAGGGGTCTGAGCCCCGAGACCCCCGATTCCTGAGAGATCAGAGCCCCGAGACCCCCGATTCCTGAGGGGTCTGAACCCCGAGACCCCCGATTCCTGTTCTCAGAGCCCTGAGACCCCCGATTCCTGAGGGATCAGAGCTCTGAGACCCCCAGTTCCTGAGAAATCAGAGCCCTGAGACCCCCAATTCCTGAGGGATCCGAGCCCTGAGACCCCCAATTCCTGAGGGGGTGTGTCCCCCCATTCCTGAGGGGGTGTGTCCCCCAATTCCTGAGGGATCAGAGCCCTGAGATCCCCTAAAGGAACCCAAAGGAACCTCCCAGACCTTTTCCCGAGGGAAATGGAACCCAAAATTAATCTCCCAGAGCTTTTCCCGAGGGAAATGGAATCCAAAGTGAATCCTCCTGAGCTTTCCCTGAGGGAATTTGAACCCAAAGTGAATCTCCCAGAGCTTTTCCCGAGGGAATTGGAATCCAAGACAAACATTCCTGAGCTTTCCCTGAGGGAATTGGAACCCAAAGGAACCTCCCAGAGCTTTTCCTGAGGGAATTGGAATCCAAGACAAAACATTCCTGAGCTTTTCCCGAGGGAACTGGAATCCAAAGTGAATCTCCCAGAGCTTTTCCCGAGGGAATTGGAACCCAAAGTGAATCTCCCTGAGCTTTCCCCGAGGGAATTTGAACCCAAAGGAACCTCCCTGAGCTTCTCCTGAGGGAATTTGAACCCAAAGGAACCTCCCTGAGCTTTTCCTGAGGGAATTGGAACCCAGAATTAATCTCCCAGAGCTTTTCCCGAGGGAACTGGAATCCAAGACAAACATTCCTGAGCTTTCCCTGAGGGAATTGGAACCCAAAGTGAATCTCCCTGACCTTTTCCCGAGGGAATTGGAATCCAGTTCCAATCCAGGGGCTCCATCCCAGCCCATAATTGATGAGTCTCCCAAAGGATCCCATGGAACCCCCTCATTCCCACCCATCCTGGTTGCTGTTTTTGGGGTGGGAAAAGCCGGGAATGATGCGGGAAAAGATGGAAAAGCCGGAATGATGCAGTATCCATGTCCTTTTCCAGAGCTGAGCTGCTCCAAGAACGAGCAGGAGCTGGAGGAGCTGCTCCTGGAGGCCAGTCGGGATCCGGGGCAGGAGCCGCTCTGAGGCCGCAGGTGAGCGGGATGGGGGGGCCGGGAAAAACCCCGGAATTCCCACCGGGAATGCCGGGAATTCCGCAGCCCCAATCCCTTCCCTTCCCTCCCCGTGTGTCCCGCAGGTCCTGTCCGGGATCCTCCAGCTTTCTCTGGGATCATCCAGCCCCCCCTTCCTCCTCCTCCTCCTCCTCCTCCTCCTGCTCTTCCCGCTCCGCACAACAGGAATTCCGACCGAATTCCTCACGGGAAGGGAGGAAGGGGGAGAGAGGCGGCTCCGGGACTTTGGGAAAAGGCGATTGTATCCCGGTTTTTCCCTGCCCTGCCCTCCCCACACACACAGAGAGCCCTCCCCGGGGCCTTTCCCGAGGGTTTGGGAAGGGCGAGGAGAGAGCAGGGAAAGGATTTTCCCCTTCCCTTCTCCCCCCGAGGGGCCATTCCCGCCTCATTCCCGGCTCGTTCCCGCCTCATTCCCGCCGGGAGCTGACGGGCCACACACTACAGGGATGCAGGGAGCGGGAGAGGCCGGGAATTCCTCACTAAAACCCCCCCAAAAGTGGGTTTTTATTTATTTTTTTCCAAGTCGTTGGTTTGGTTTTTTGTTGTTGTTTTTCCCCTTTTTTTTTTTTTTGGTGTTTTTATTTTTTTTTCGGGTCTCTTTTTTTTTTTTCTTTTCCTTCTTTTTTTTTTTTTCCCCAGTTCTCTTTTTTCTTTCTCACCAGCTGCGGAATTCCAGAGGGGGAGGGAGCTGGATGGATGGATGGATGGGTGGATGGATGGATGGGTGGATGGATGGATGGATGGATGGATGGATGGATGGATGGATGGGTGGATGGATGGATGGATGGGTGGATGGATGGATGGATGGATGGATGGATGGATGGATGGATGGATGGATGGATCGGGATGGGGGGGGTGGGAGGAGAGAATTCCCAAAGCCCCTCCCCGAGTTCCTGCACTTGGGGATACCCGAGGGGAATGTGGGGGGGAAAACTGGGATCACTGGGAAAAACCGGGATCAGCGGGACAACCTGGATCACTGGGAGAGCCCGGGATCACTGGGAAAACCTGGGATCATGGGAAGAACCAGGGATCATCAGGAAAACCCGGGATCATGGGAAGAACCAGGGATAATTGGGGAGAAACTGGGATCACTGGGAAAGCCTGGGATCACTGGGAAAGCCTGGGATCAATGGGAAAGCCTGGGATCATTGGGAAATCCTGGGATCAATGGGAAAACCTGGGATCAATGGGAAAGCCTGGGATCATTGGGAAAACCCGGGATCATGAGGAAAAACCTTGGGGAGACCCCTCCCATGTCACCCCAACCCCTCTATGGGGTCTCCATCCCATCCAGGGGGGTCTCCAGCCCATCCAGGGGGGTTTCCAGCCCATCCAGGGGGTCTCCAGCCCATTCCAAAGGGTCCCAGCCCATCCAGGGGGGTCTCCAGCCCAACCCAGGGGTCTCCAGCCCATCCCAGGGGGGTCTCCAGCCCATCCAGGGGGTCTCCAACCCATCCCAGGTGGTCTCCAAACCATCCCAGGGATTCTCCAGCCCACTCAGGGGGGTCCCAGGAATTCCTGGGGGGGCTCCCAGGGGATCCCAGGAATTCCCGGGGGGGGGTTCCCGGGATGGTCCCACCCACTCAGGGGGGTCCCAGGAATTCCCGGGGGGGCTCCCAGGGGATCCCAGGAATTCCCGGGGGGGGTCCCGGCTGGTCCCCCCCACTCGGGGGGAATCCTGGGATGGTCCCACCCACTCGGGGGGGGTCCCAGGATGGTCCCACCCACTCAGGGGGGTCCCAGGAATTCCCGAGGGGGCTCCCAGGGGATCCCAGAAATTCCCGGGGGGGCTCCCAGGGGATCCCAGAAATTCCCGGGGGGGCTCCCAGGGGATCCCAGGAATTCCCGGGGGGGGTCCCGGGCTGGTCCCCCCCACTCGGGGGTCGCGGGGGGGGCCGAGGACGCGTCTCTTTTCTTTCTGAAGTGCAATAAAATCTCATCAGGGAGTTTTTTGGGGGGTCCCGGGGGGTGGGGGGTGTTTTTGGGGTGGTCTTTGTCGCGGGGTGGGGTTGGAGGGGGAAGCTCCGCCCGTGGAGCCGCTGGTGGGGTTTGTGTTGTTTTTTTTTCTTCCTTTTTTTTCCCCTCGTGGATGATTCGTTGGTTTTATTTCTGTTGTCGTTGTTAAAAAAAAAACAGTTTTCTATTAAACAGAAACTCGGCTTTGCTCACCGGGCTCCCCTCCCCCCATTTCCCTCCCCCCTTTTCTTTGGGAAAATCCTCCTTTTTTTTATTTTTTTATCTTTTTTGGGGGGGATGGGAGGGTCTTTCGGATGCAAATCGGGCCATTCCAGCCCGAGATTCCAGCGGGGAAAACCCCTGGGAATGCCGAGGATCCCGGAGCACCCCCTCCCCCCTCCTTGGGAGGGATTTTTTTCCACCCAAAATCGGGGGGCCTGGACCCCCAATCCCCCCCCCCCCAAAAAAAATAGGCGGGATCCGAAGCGGGAGGTTGAAAAATCGGTTTATTGTGGGACGAGCCCGGGGGGGCCTTTTGGGGTCACCCCGGGCACTTGGGATGGGGGAGACCCCCTAATTCCCCCCCTAAGAGGACCCCATTTTTTCTGGGGGGGGGAAGGTCCCCAAAGGGTGTCTGGGGGTTCTGGGGGTTCCCCCCCCAATTTCCTACCCCAATTTTCCCCCTAAAGGGACCCATTTTTGGGGGAAGTTCCCAAAGGGTGATGGGGGGGTTGTCAGTGGGTTCTGGGGGTCCCCCTAATTGACATCCTAAAGGGACCCCATTTTTTGGGGGGAAGGTCCCCCAAGGGGTGTCTGGTGGGGGGGGCTGAGGGTCCCAGGGGTCATCGAGGTCATCTGGATCCCCCCTCCCCCATCCCCAAAACATCCCAGAGGGGGGACAACAACTCACAGGGACCCCCAATTCCCCAAGCCCATTTTGTGAGGGGTCCCCCCTTCCCCTGCCCCCTAATTTGGGGGTGCCTGTGGGTGGGAGGGGGGGACACACTGGACCCCCCATCCCCAAAACAGCTCTCAAAATATTCCAGGGGGTCCAAGAAGTCATGAGGACCCCCCAGTGCCCCGAGCCCATTTTGGGGTGTTCCCCCCTTCCCCTTCCCCCTAATTTGGGGGTCCCTGTGGCTGTGTGGGGACGCACTGCGTCCCCCTGGACACAACCCCAGAACAGCTCCCAAAATATTCCAGGGGGAGGGACACAAAGTCACTAGGGGACCCTTCCCTGCCCCTATTGGGGTCCTGTGGCTGTGTGGGGACACTGTCCCTGCACCCCAAATTCAGGGAGACCAAGTCACCCCTAAGCTTTTGGGGGTCCCTCGTGGCCCTGTGCTGGGGACACACTGCATCCCCCTGGACACAGCCCCAAACAGCTCCCAAAATATTCCAGGGGGGGCACAAGAAGTCATGGGACCCCAGTGCCCCGAGCCTGTTTTGGGGTGTCCCCCTTCCCCCGCCCCCTAATTTGGGGGTCCCTGTGGCTGTGTGGGGACACACTGCATCCCCCTGGACACAACCCCAAAACATTCCAGGGGGAGGGACACAAAGTCACAGGGACCCCCCGAGCCTGTTTTGGGGTGTCCCCCTTCCCCCACCCCCTAATTTGGGGGTTCCTGTGGCTGTGTGGGGACACACTGCACCCCCCATCCACAAAACAGCTCCCAGAACATTTCAGGGGAGGGACACAAGTCTGGGACCCCCAGTGCCCCGAGCCCATTTTGGGGGTGTCCCCCTGTGGCCCCTAGTGTGGGGTTCACTGTGGCTAGGTCCCCCTGGACACAGCCCCCAAAACAAGTCCCAAAATATTTCAGGGGGCTCCAAGAAGTCATGAGGACCCCCTGAGCCTGTTTTGGGGTGTCCTCTTCCCCGCCCCCTACTTTGGGGGTTCCTGTGGCTGTGTGGGGACACACTGCGTCCCTGACCACAACCCCAAAACATTCCAGGGGAGGGACCGGGCGTCCCCCTGGGGTTCCTGTGGCTGTGTGGGGACACACTGCATCCCCCTGGACACAGCCCCAAAACAACTCCCAAAATATTCCAGGGGGAGGGACACAAAGTCACAGGGACCCCCAGTGCCGAGCCCGTTTGGGGTGTCCCTTCCCTGCCCCTAATTTGGGGGTCCCTGTGGCTGTGTGGGGACACACTGCATCCCCCTGGACACAACCCCAAAACATTCCAGGGGGAGGGACACAAAGTCACAGGGACCCCCCGAGCCTGTTTTGGGGTGTCCCCCCTTCCCCCGCCCCCTAATTTGGGGGTCCCTGTGGCTGTGTGGGGACACACTGCACCCCCCTCCCCAAAACAGCTCCCAAAACATTCCAGGGGAGTCGGTACATTCACAAGTCCCCTAATTTGGGGTTCCCTGTGGCTGGGTCCCCCTGGACACAACCCCAAAATATTTCAGGGGGGTCCAAGAAGTCATGAGGACCCCCCAGTGCCCCGAGCCCATTTTGGGGGTGTCCCCCTTCCCCCACCCCCTAATTTGGGGGTCCCTGTGGCTGTGGGGGGACACACTGCGTCCCCCTGGACACAACCCCAAAACAGCTCCCAAAATATTTTGCGGTGTCCCCCTCTCCTTACCCCCTAATTTGGGGTTCCCTGTGGCTGTGTGGAGGGACACTGCACCCCCCATCCCCAAAACAGCTCCCAAAATATTCCAGGGGGAGGGACATAAAGTCACAGGGACCCCCCAGTGCCCTGAACCCATTTTGGGGGTTCCCCCTTCCCCCACCCCCTAATTTGGGGTTCCCTGTGGCTGTGTGGGGACGCCACACTGCGTCCCCCTGGACACGCGCGCCGTGGCGGCCGCCCGGAGCCGGTCGAGGGCCCTGAGCAGGCCCATCTTGTGCCGGATGGAGTGGTCGAGGTTGACGGTGACGGGCAGGAGCCGGCGGGCGTCGCGCGCCGTGAAGGGGAAGTCGCGGCGCAGGAAGGCCCCGAACTGCTCGGGGTCCCCGTCCAGGCTCAGCACGTTGTGCAGCGGCTGCCGCAGCGCGCTCAGCTCCGCCACGTGCGCCTCGAACACACTCCACAGCGTCCTGCTGCCGGGGTCCGGCGAGGGGTGACCCGCCGTGGGGTGATCCTGAGTGGGGTGATCCTGAGTGGGGTGATCCACTGTGGGGTGATCTGCCACCATGGGGTGATCCACTGTGGGGTGATCCGCCGCCGTGGGGTGATCCGGAGCGGGATCGAGCAGCGCCCAGCCCTGCCCGGCGTCCTCCAGGCACTGCAGGGCCCAGCTGAGGCGGCAGGGCCAGCGGTCGGCCAGCACCACCCAGGCGGCCGCGGCGCGCGGCGAGGGCCCCACCCCGCCCGTCCCGGGGATCCCGCCCGTCCCGGGGTCCCACCCGTCCCGGGGCTCCCGGAGCCGCCGGGGGAGCTCCCCGCGTTGATCCTGGCGCGGTGCAGCAGCAGGCGCAGCGTGATGGGGATGGTGTTGACGATGCGGCGCACGTGGGCCCCGCTGGCCGGCACGTAGCGCGCCAGGGCGTCCGAGGGGTCGTGCAGGCAGCGGAACGCCTCGTGGATGCAGCGCACCGCCGCCTCGGCCTCGGCCTCCGCCCAGCCGGGGGGATCCGGGGCAGGCCGAGATCCGCCAGCTCCATTGACACATCCCGGTGCTTGCGAGGCGGCCGCCCCGGCGCCGGCGGCGCTCGGCGTTGCCGGCCATGATCCGGTAGGCCAGGTCCTCCCGCGTGCCGATGGCGGCCTCGAGGCAGCGCAGGCGGGAGCGCGCGCCCACGTCCGGGATGGAGAAGGGCAGCGACACGGAGCGGCTCAGGAACAGGTAGCCGTTGTCCGCCAGGCCCCGCATGCAGCCCGTCTGCTCCAGGCACGGCACCACCACGCTGGGGTCCACGGCCAGGATGGAGATGAAGGGCGCGTCGGCGTCCGACAGCAGCGTGTTGACGGCGTTGAGCACGCCCGCCACGCGCTCGGGCAGGCACAGGTCCAGGCTGGTGATCTCCATCACCACGCGCAGCCGCCGCCGCTCGAACACCTCCATGAAGGCCAGGAAGTCGACCAGCGCCTCCACCTCGGCGCGCACCTTGCTCATGAAGCCCAGCTGGCCGGCGAAGCGGTCGCTGTCCGTCAGCCGCTCGATCTTCCTCTTCTCGCTCACCAGCAGGTTCTTGAGCACCGACAGCGCGCCCAGCGCCAGCCCCGAGCCCGACAGCGACGCCACGGCGCTGCCCACCGCCTTCAGCGCCCGGTGCTCCTTGACGCCGGGCACCAGCAGGGCCACCAGCAGCACGGCCAGCCCCGCGCCCAGCGCCAGCAGCAGCGCCCACAGCCGCAGGCACGCCCCCGTCTTCAGGGCCCACTCGCGGCGCGCCCGGGGGCCCTCGGCGTGGCGGGGCCGCGCGCCCGCCACGTGGAAGACGCTGAGCAGGAGGGCGCCGAAGTGGCGGCGCACGTGCTCGCAGAGCGCCGTCACCAGCCCGGCCCACAGGCGGTCGCAGCCCGCGTACTGCCAGGCGCTGAAGCGCACGAACACGAACTCCACGCGCCGCCGCCGCGCCGCCGCCGCCGTCACCACCGGCTCGTAGAAGGCCAGGAGCCAGAGCGCCTGCAGGAGCCCCCAGCCCCGCGGGCTGCGAGGGCGATCGTCCCCGCACGCGGCGTCCACGGGGTCCGGCTCCGACTGCTCGCGCTGCCACATCTCCTCACGCATGAAGGCTGAGGGGGAAAGAGATGGGGGATGGGGGTGGGTGGGGGCACCCCAGAGCTCCCAGAGATGGGGGAGAAGTGGGGGTTGGGGATGGGATGGGATGGGGTGGGAGACCCCAGAGATGGGGGAGAAGTGGGGATTGGGAATGGGATGGGATGGGGTGGGAGACCCCAGAGATGGGGAGAAGTGGGGGTTGGGGGATGGGATGGGGTGGGGTGGGAGTGGATGGGATGGGATGGGGTGGGATGGGATGGGATGGGATGGGATGGGATGGGATGGGATGGGATGGGATGGGATGGGATGGGATGGGGTGGGGAGGACACCCCAGAGCCCCAGAGATGGGGGAGAAGTGGGGGTTGGGAATGGGTGGGGTGGAGGGGATGGGGTGGGATGGGATGGGATGGGGTGGGGTGGGGTGGGGTGGGTGGGGGCACCCCAGAGCCCCAGAGATGGGGGAGAAGTGGGGGTTGGGGAATGGGGTGAGGTGGGGTGGGAGACACTAAAGTTGGGAGAGAAATGGGGTTGGGGGATTTGGGAGGGGTGGGATGAGGTGGGGTGGATGGGATGGGATGGGATGGGATGGGATGGGGTGGGGTGGGATGAGATGGGATGGGATGGGATGGGATGGGGGGGCACTCCAGAGCCCCAGAGATGGGGGAGAAGTGGGGGTTGGGGATGGGGTGGGGTGGGGTGGGAGACCCTAAAGTTGGGGGAGAAATGGGGGTGGGGGAATGGGATGGGGTGGGAGACACTAAGAGTTGGGGGAGAAATGGGGTTGGGGGGATTTGGGAGGGGTGGGATGGGATGGGGTGGGATGGGATGGGATGAGGTGGGGTGGGACACCCCAAAGCTGAGGTAGAAACGGGATTGGGGCCAGGATTTGGGGCTGGGATGGGACAACTTGGGACACCCCAAACCCTCCGAAGAAAACAAGCGACGAGAGCCCAAATCCCGGATCCGAGGGGACCCCGTGGGTTGGGGTGGGTGCCCTGTCCCTGTCCCCCATCCCCTGTCCCCTGTCCCCACACCCACCGGTGACCTTGTCCAGCAGGCAGTCGAGGCGGTGGCCGCAGGGAGCGTAGAACCCCACGGTGACCGGCGTGGCCACGTGGCACAGGGTCTGGGACAGGCACCGGCAGTAAATGTCGTCCTCCGTGGGCTCCTCTGGGGTGGGATGGGATGGGAATGGGGACAGGGTGACCCCCCCTGTCCATGGGAACGGGGGAGACCCCCAGAACCCCAGTGGGGTGGGATGGGATGGGATGGGATGGGATGGGATGGGATGGGATGGGATGGGGACCGTGTGGCACAGGGTCTGGGACAGGCACCGGCAGTAAATGTCGTCCTCCGTGGGCTCCTCTGGGGTGGGAATGGGGACACTGGGACATCCTGGAGATGTGGGAACAGGGGAGACCCCCAAAACTGCAGTGGGGTGGGAATGGGGACACTGGGACATCCTGGGGATTTGGGAACAGGGGAGACCCCCAGAACCCCAGTGGGGTGGGATGGGATGGGATGGGATGGGATGGGATGGGATGGGATGGGATGGGATGGGATGGGATGGGATGGGATGGGATGGGATGGGGGCCGTGTGGCACAGGGTCTGGGACAGGCACCGGCAGTAAATGTCGTCCTCCGTGGGCTCCTCTGGGGTGGGAACGGGGACACTGGGACATCTTGGAGATGTGGGAACAGGGAGACCCCAGAACCCCAGTGGGGTGGGATGGGATGGGATGGGATGGGATGGGATGGGATGGGATGGGATGGGATGGGATGGGATGGGATGGGATGGGATGGATGGGATGGGATGGGATGGGATGGGATGGGATGGGATGGGATGGGATGGGATGGGATGGGATGGGATGGGATGGGATGGGATGGGATGGGATGGGATGGGATGGGGACCGTGTGGCACAGGGTCTGGGACAGGCACCGGCAGTAAATGTCGTCCTCCGTGGGCTCCTCTGGGGTGGGAACGGGGACAGGGTGAGCCCTCCTGTCCATGGGAACAGGGGAGACCCCCAGAACCCCAGTGGGGTGGGAATGGGGTGGGAACAGGGACAGGGTGACCCCTGGTCCCTGGGAAGGGAGCCCCAGAACCCAATGGGTGGGAATGGGACAGGTGACCCTCCTGTCCCTGGGAACAGGGAGACCCCCAGAACCCCAGTGGGGTGGGAAGGGTGAGAATAGGGTGAATGGGGTGGGGACTGTGGCAGAGGATTTGGGATTTGGGATGGGTGGGATGAGATGGGATGGGGTGGGATGGGGGTCGGTGCCAGAGGATTTGGGATTTGGGATTTGGGATTTGAGATTTGGGATTTGGGATGGGGTGAGATGGGATGGGGTGGGATGGGGTGGGATGGGATGGGATGGGATGGGGTGGGGTGGGATGGGATGGGATGGGATGGGATGGGGCCATGTGCCAGAGGATTTGGGATTTGGGATTTGAGATTTGGGATGGGGTGAGATGGGATGGGATGGGATGGGATGGGGCTGTGTGGCAGAGGATTTGGGATTTGGGATGGGATGGGAGTGGGATGGGGACTATGTGGCAGAGGATTTGGGATTTAGGATTTGGGGTGGGGTGGAGTGGGATGAGAATGGGATGGGATGGGATGGGATGGGATGGGATGGGATGGGATGGGATGGGATGGGATGGGATAGGATGGGATGGGATGGGATGGGATGGGATGGGATGGGATGGGATGGGATGGGATGGGGCCGTGTGGCAGAGGATTTGGGATTTAGGATTTGGGGTGGGGTGGATGGGATGAGATGGGATGGGATGGGATGGGATGGGATGGGATGGGATGGGATGGGATAGGATGGGATGGGATGGGATGGGATGGGGTGGGATGGGATGGGGTGGGATGGGGGCCATGTGGCAGAGGATTTGGGATTTGGGATTTGGGATGGGAATGAGCCCCCTCCCCATACCTTGTTGTTCCCGGTGTTCTCCATCCCCGTCAGCTCCATGGGGACAGGGACAGGAGCAGGGGACAGGGACAGGGACAGGGACAGGGACAGGGACAGGGACAGGGGCAGGGACAGGGACAGGCGTGTCCCCCCGGGCTCAGCCAGGCCACGCTCTCCTCCCAGCCCCCAGGGGGGGTCTCCGGAGACCCCAGAGCCCCCAGGCAGCAGGAACCCTGCAGGGACACAGGGACACCTTGGGGACATTGCAGGGACACATTGGAGACACCTTGGGGACACCTGGGGACACAGGGACACCATGGAGGGGGTCCCCAAAGCCCCCAGACCCCCCAGGCAGCAGGAACCCTGCAGGGACACAGGGACACCTTGGGGACACCCTGGGGACACCTTGGGGACAGGGGGACACCATGGACGGGGGTCCCAGAGCCCCCAGACCCCCCAGGCAGCAGGAACCCTGCAGGGACACCTTGGGGACACTTTGGGGACACCTTGGGGACACTTTGGGGACACTTTGGGGACACAGGGACATTGCAGGGACACCTTGGGGACACCTTAGGGACACCATGGACGGGGGTCCCAGAGCCCCCAGACCCCCCGGGCAGCAGGAACCCTGCAGGGACACAGGGACACCTTGGGGACACCCTGGGGACACCTTGGGGACATCCTGGGGACATGAGGACACCTTGGGGACATGGGGACACTGGGGACACTGGGACAACCCATACTGGGGACACTGGGACAGCCCCTACTGGTGACACCAGTGCCCCCATCCCAACCCATACTGGGGACACTGGGACAGCCCCTACTGGGGACACTGGGACAGCCCCTACTGGTGACACCAGTGCCCCCATCCCAGCCCATACTGGGGACACTGGGACAGCCCATACTGGGGACACTGGGACAACCATACTGGTGACACCAATGCCCCCACCCCAGCCCCTACTGGTGCCCCGGGGCCAGTGCACACCGGGACCCCCCCCGTGACCCCCCTCACCCCCTCCCTCCGAGGGTCTCCCTCTGACCCCTCTGACCCCTCTCACTCCTCCCGGGGTCTCCCTGTGACCCCCTCACCCCCTCTGACCCCCTTCCCTCCCCATCCTCTCTGACCCCCTCACCCTCCTCAGGGGTCTCCCCACCCTCTCTGACCCCCTGTGACTCCCTTCACCCCCGGGAGTCTCCCTCACCTTCCCTCTCCCGAGGGGTCTCCCTGGCCCTCCCCATCCTACCCCGGCCATCCCGTCCGGCTCCATCGCCCTCGCTCCGCCCCAGCGCGGGCTCCGCTCCCGATTTATGGGCTCAGGATGTGACCCTGGCCCGGCTCTGAACCCCTATGACCCCCTCACCCTCCCCATCCCCAGGGGTCTCCCTGGCCCCTCCCCATCCTACCCCGCCATCCGTCCGCTCCATCGCCCTCGCTCCGCCCCAGCGCGGGCTCCGCTCCCGATTTATGGGCTCAGGATGTGACCCTGGCCCGGCTCTGAACCCCTGTGACCCCCTCACCTCCCCTCCCCAGGGGTCTCCCCTGGCCCCCTCCCCATCCTACCCCGGCCATCCCGTCCGGCTCCATCGCCCTCGCTCCGCCCCAGCGCAGGCTCCGCTCCCGATTTATGGGCTCAGGATGTGACCCCGGCCCGGGGAGGGACCGGGAGGGACCGGGAGGGACCGGGAGGGACCCGGGAGGGACCCGGGAGGGCGGACGGGGCAGAAATTCCGGCTGAGCTCGGCCTGAGTCAGGGCCCAGCAATGCCCGCCTGGGAGGCTCGGGCTGGGGGCGACACGGGGGGGACACGGAGGGGACACGGAGGGGACACGGAGGGGGACACGAGGGGACACGGAGAGCGACACGAGGGGCACGCGGGGACAGTTTTGGGGTGGGTGGGGTGGGGGTGTGTGCGGAGGGGACAGGCGGTGACACGGCGGTGACACGGGCGGGGTGGCACCGCGCCGGGGAGGTGACACCGCGATGCGACAGCGCGATGTGACAGCGCCGTGGCATCGCCACTTCCTGTGGCTCCTGGCCCGAGGAACCTGCTGGCCCGGGCACGGGGGAAGGGGTGGGTGGGGGTGTGGGGGTGGTGACACGCGGTGGCCACCGGTCCGCGTGACACGCGCTGGCCACGCGGCCACCGGGCTGGGGGGAGGGGCTGGGGGAGGGTCACCAGTGTCACCAGTACGGGCTGTCCCAGTGTCACCAGTATAGGCTGGGGAAGGGTCACCAGTGTCACCAGTATGGGCTGTCCCAGTGTCACCAGTATAGGCTGGGGGAGAGTCACCGGTGCCACCAGTATAGGCTGGGCGAGGGTCACCAGTGTCACCAGTACGGGCTGTCCCAGTGTCACCAGTACGGGCTGGGGGAGGGTCACCAGTGTCACCAGTATGGGCTGGGGGAGGGTCACCAGTGTCACCAGTATGGGCTGTCCCAGTGTCACCAGTATGGGCTGGGGGAGGGTCACCAGTGTCACCAGTATGGGCCGTCCCAGTGTCACCAGTATAGGCTGGGGGAGGGTCACCGGTGTCACCAGTACGGGCTGGGGGAGGGTCACCAGTATGGGCTGGGGGAGGGTCACCAGTGTCACCAGTACAGGCTGTCCCAGTGTCACCAGTACGGGCTGTCCCAGTGTCACCAGTATAGGCTGGGGAGGGTCACCAGTGTCACCAGTATGGGCTGTCCCAGTGTCGCCAATATAGGCTGGGGGAGGGTCACCAGTGTCACCAGTATGGGCCGTCCCAGTGTCACCAGTATAGGCTGGGGAAGGGTCACCAGTGTCACCAGTATGGGCTGTCCCAGTGTCACCAGTATAGGCTGGGGGAGGGTCACCAGTATGGGCTGGGGGAGGGTCACCGGTGTCACCAGTATAGGTTGGGGGAGGGTCACCAGTGTCACCAGTATGGGCTGTCCCAGTGTCACCAGTATAGGCTGGGGTAGGGTCACCAGTGTCACCAGTACGGGTCGTCCCAGTGTCACCAGTATAGGCTGGGGAAGGGTCACCAGTGTCACCAGTACGGGCTGGGGGAGGGTCACCAGTGTCGCCAATATAGGCTGGGGGAGGGTCACCAGTGTCACCAGTATGGGCTGTCCCAGTGTCACCAGTATAGGCTGGGGGAGGGTCACCGGTGTCACCAGTATGGGTCACCAGTGTCCCCCCGGGAGGGGCTGTCCCAGTGTCCCCAGTATAGACTGTCCCAGTGTCCCCAGTGTCCCTAGTATAGACTGTCTCAGTGTCCTCAGCATGGGCTGTTCCAGTGTCCCCAGTATGGATTGTCCCAGTGTCCCCACTGTCCCCAGTGTCCCCTGCGTGGGTTGTCCCAGCATGGGCTGTCCCAGTGCTCCCAGTCCTCCCAGTGCTCCCAGTGTGGGCTGTCCCAGTGTCCCCAGTATAGATTGTGCCAGTGTCCCCAGTGTCCCTAGACTGTCCCAGTGCTCCCAGCACTCCCTGCGTGGGCTGTCCCAGTGTCCCCAGTACAGACTGTCCCAGTGTCCCCAGTATAGACTGTCCCATTGTCCCAGCACTCCCTGCGTGGGCTGTCCCAGTGCCCCCTGCGTGGGCTGTCCCAGTGCTCCCAGTGTTCCCAGTGTGGGCTGTCCCAGTGTCCCCAGCGCTCCCAGTGCTCCCAGCATGGGCTGTCCCAGTGCTCCCAGTGTCCCAGCGTGGGCTGTCCCAGTACTCCCAGTGCTCCCATTGCTCCCAGTGCTCCCAGTGTGGGCTGTCCCAGTGTCCCCTGCGTGGGCTGTCCCAGTGCTCCCAGTGTGGGCCATCCCAGTGCTCCCAGTGTCCCAGCGTGGGCTGTCCCAGTGCTCCCAGTGCTCCCAGCAGGGCTGGGTGTCTCCCGTGTGGGGGTGGTGGCACCCCTGGCATTTCCGAGGCACCGGGAAGGGCCCCGCGCGTCACCGGGAGGGGGGAGGGGCCACACCCCTGCCCCCAGCCCAAATTCCAGCCCAAATCCCACCCTGTTCTATCCTATCCTATCCTATCCTATCCTAAATCCCACCCCATCCATCTCAAACCCCAGCCCAAATTCCAGCCCAAATCCCACCCTGTTCCATCCTATCCCATCCCATCCCATCCCATCCCATCCTATCCTATCCTATCCTAAATCCCACCCCATCCCATCTCAAACCCCAGCCCAAATTCCAGCCCAAATCCCACCCTGTTCCATCCTATCCCATCCCATCCTATCCCATCCCATCCCATCCCATCCCATCCCATCCCATCCTAAATCCCACCCCATCCCATCCCATCCTATCCTATCCTATCCTAAATCCCACCCCATCCTATCTCAAATCCCAGCCCAAATTCCAGCCCAAATCCCACCCTATCCCATCCTATCCCATCCTATCCTAAATCCCACCCCATCCCATCTCAAATTCCAGCCCAAATCCCACCCTATTCCATCCTATCCCAGCCCATCCTATCCTATCCTAAATCCCACCCCATCCCATCTCAAATTCCAGCCCAAATTCCATCATAAATCCCATCCTAAATCCCACCCCATCCCATCCTATCCCAGCCCATCCTATCCTATCCCAAATCCCACCCCATCCCATCCTAAATCCCAGCCCAAATCCCATCCCAAATCCCACCCCATCCCATCCTAAATCCCATCCCACTCCATCCCAAATCCCATCCCAAATCCAATCCCAAATCCCATCCCATCCTATCCTAAATCCCATCCCATCCTATCCTAAATCCCATTCCAAATCCCACCCCAAATCCCATCCCAAATTCCATCTCAAATCCCATCCCAAAGCCCATCCCAAAGCACACCCCATCCTATCCTAAATCCCATCCCAAAGCCTATCCCAAATCCCATCCCAAATCCCACCCCATCCTATCCCAAATTCCATCCCAAATGTTACCCCATCCTATCCTAAATCCCATCCCAAATCCCAAACCCCATCCCATTCCAAATCCCAAATCCGAAATCCCATCCCAAATTTCATCCCAAATGCCATCCCAAACCCCATCCCATTCCAGATCCCAAATCCCAAACCCCATCCCAAATTTCATCCCGAATCCCATCCCAAATCCCATCCCAAATTTCATCCCAAATCCCAAATTTCATCCCAAATCCCAAATTTCATCCCGAATCCCAAATCCCACCCCCATCCCGTCCCAGCGCCGCCCCCGCGCGGCCGCTCCCGGAACTGCAGCACAAAAACCTCTTCCCCTTCTCCCCCCCAAAAAAATCCCCCCCAAAATCGGGGTCCCCCCTCGAAGCCCCTCCCCTAAATCCCGGAACCCTAAGCCCCTCCCCTAAATCCCACACCCCTAATTCTTTAGGGGACCCCCAATTTTATAGGGGACCCCCTCCAATTCTTTAAGGGATCCCCCAAAAATTCAGGGGAAACCCCCCCTCAATTCTTTAAGGGATTGGGACGTCCGGGACCCCCCAGGTCGTTTTTTGGAGGGGTCTCTGTGGGGTCCCCAGTGGGGTTTGGGGGTCCTTATGGGGTGTGGGGGAGTCTCTGTGGGGTCTATAGTGGTGTTTGGGGGTCCCTGAGTGGGGGTTTGGGGGTCTTTATGGGGTGGGGGGTTTCTGTGGGGTTTGGGGGTCCCCAGTGGGATTTGGGGGTCCTATGGGGTGAGGGAGGGTTTCTGTGGGGTCCCCAGTGGGGTTTGGGGGTCCTTATGGGGGGTGTGTGTAGAGGGTGTCTCTGTGGGGTCCCCAGTGGGGTTTGGGGGTCCCCAGTGGGATTTGGGGGTCCCTATGGGGTGTGTGTGTAGGGGGTCTCTGTGGGGTCCCCAGTGGGGTTTGGGGTCCCCAGTGGGATTTGGGGGTCCTTATGGGGGGTGTGTGTAGGGGGTCTCTGTGGGTCCCCAGTGGTGTTTGGGGTCCCCTGTGGGATTTGGGGTCCTATGGGGTGTGTGTAGGGGGTCTCTGTGGGGTCCCCAGTGGGGTTTAGGGGTCCCCAGTGGGATTTGGGGTCCTATGGGGGTGTGTGTAGGGGGTCTCTGTGGGGTCCCCAGTGGGGTTGGGGTCTCTCCGGGGTTTGGGGGTCCCTCTGAGCTTGGGGGTCTCTGGAGTCCTCGGTGGGGTTTGGGGTCCGTTCCCATGTGGCCCCCGAGTGTCCCCCTTGTCCCTCTTTGTCCCCCGTGTCCTCCCCACTCCCGCGTGTCCCCCTTGTCCCCCGTGTCCCCTGTCCCCATGTCGACCCCCGAGTGTCCCCCTTGTCCCCCAGTGTCCCCAGTCCCCATGTCGACCCCGAGTGTCCCCCCGTG